CGTGGGTGGCGGAGTGGCGCTGGGGCAGCCGGAAGCAAGGGAGCGCTGGAGGCGGGGGGGACAGCGAAAAGGGTCCACGACGGGTGTCGGTCGCTACGAGAAACACATTACACCGGGGTTAACGACGCTGCAAATTGGTTGCCTGACGAGATCCGTCAGCGCCGCCCGAGCAAATGACGCGCCGGCACGCAGCACGGGGCAGGGCACGAGGTGAGCGGCCAGCGAGTCCCCACCGTTTCTGCGGAAACATCCAGAGGGACGAAGCAGCCAGGCAGGCAGGTCAAAATAACGACTAGCTCCTCGCAACTGGGATCGTCGCGGAATGCGAGCAGAGTAATGAAGCGCATCGGAAGTAAAAAACAGGTCTACATTGTGGAAAAAGTTCCAATAATTTGATTTTAAGTACAACTGTAGACCCAGTAAATAGAAATTTAAACTATTTTGAGTTGTCAGCCAATTATTTTGTAGCTTTGTGAATCCTATTGAATTTACCATTAAAACACATTTTGCATTCATTTTGATTCGTCTGTACATTCGTTTTTATTTTCATACGAATTCCATTTCTCGAGGTCTCCGGGTCTTTTAGATAAATTAAACATTTTTTCAATGCATGTTCACACCCATTATTTGTCATTTATTCATTCTAATTCCTGCCATCCTTAGGTATATAAAAGAAAGGCCTTATTTGGAAATTTAACCCCCACAAACATTAACGACCGACTGTCATCCAATACGATGAAGAACGTACGTTATTTTGACACTGCGTTTTTCTTATAATTTTGTGTCAAAACGGAAAGGGTCAACAAAACAGTGCCGTGCCGATTGAAACCGCATGACACCGAAATATTTACGTAGGTCTATGCGTTCTTGAGACTTCCGTCAGCGGGCCGCAAAGACTTCGCAAATGATGGAGTGCTATTTATAACGCAAAACGTTGATCCTGAAAATACCGAGAAACAAAAAACAAACGAACTACTGTGCAAACTGAGCAAATAAAAATCTGGCAAAATATTATAAGAAGTCAGAATTGTTGACTATATAGTATCAAATTGTACATTTCTTATATATCATTGACTGTCAATTTCATTAAAAAAAAACTTATCAAGCCATGCCAATGTAATATTACTCACATTATGGAACATTTTTAATTTATATTCAATAAATATATCTAGACTCATATTAAAAATACTATTTAGAATGCAAAAATAAAAAAAAGGAACGTGAATACACAATTTGATCCACTAAGCATTCCGTGCAATTTAGTCGTAGGTTAAAGCGAGTAATGTAGCGGGCAGCCTTACATTTTGATGAACTCATCGTCAGTGTCACGGAGTTTTGCTTTTCCTGTTCCGCGCCAGCATGGCGGAGGAACAATTGAGGCGGAAGGTGTAGTCACGGGCAATGGGCGACAGATTAACGAGACGCGCTAGCAGGTACTGCGGCATGGACGACAACATCCGAGCATACAAACTCCTCTGTTAAATTTTGTTCCCTTAATCTCCTACAGCCTCTGCCAAAATTTTGACCAGCCCAACCGCCCAAAAAAAGAGTCGATCGTAGAACGGTTTATGAACGTCACATCGAGTCCATTTAAGTAACCGGTTGAACCGACCCCTGTGTTACTGCGCGGATGGCCATGAGCAGGCCAGGAAGGCAACGGCCGCAGATTGTCTGAGGGTTGAATCCAAGCATTGAGGCGGGTGTAGAGCCCACGCTTGCCAACCGCTAGACCGCGCCGCTGTGTGACGTTCAGAGAGAATCACAGCGCGCGGACGACGTTTGCGGGTCACGGGAAGCGGGGCAGGAGACGACGGCACTGGAGCAAATGCAGGACAGAGGAAAGCCGGGCGGACTCCTCTGCCGCTGCTACCGTTTTACGCCTGCCCCTTCTGCCCAACTCGCGCCGCTTCGCACTCTGTGCCGGCTGGGCTTCTGCGCGCCCAATTAGAGTCGAGGTACGGGTCAAGTACAGAGGCGGTGGCGGCGGGCGAAAGCGGCGGGGGGCGGGGCGGTAGGGGGGCCGTGGATGGGTGGCGTGCAGTGGTGAAAAGGTATGCCAGAAAATGGTGGGCCGGAGAGGGAGAGGAGGTTGAGATCTGGGCGGGCTGCGTGAGGGCGTAGAATCAGGTCAGGATGGGTGCAGCTGTGGTGTGGCGTGGGGAGGGAGCGGAGATGGCACGGCGCGGCAGGATGGACGGGCGAAAAAGTGAGAATCTGTGAGTGCATTGGGTTGTGAAGCGACGGGACATTGGAAGCCGCTCGTGTGCGCCGTGGCGACTGTTTCAGAGGAGGGTGGCGGCCGGTTGAGGGCGGTGACGAGATTGGCGGGGATGGCGGGGTTTTGAGTAGGGTGGGCGAGTGTTTGGGTATTGGCGGCCCGTGTGGCTAGTGGCGACAGTTTGGATTGGTGTCGCGTTTCGTAGGTTGTGGCGGCGGTTCCAGTGTGTGGCGGCGGATTGGTGGGGCGGCGGATTGGAGTGGCGCTACCAAGTACATTTTGGTGCATGGACTTTTTTCAATTTTTACTTTTTCAAAGTAGTAGAACGGAATTTTTTACTTATTAGGAGGGAAGTGGGTGGTGGCGGCGTGGTCTAGAGCGAAGGCAGCGGCACAAGGGCGTGGATAAGTGCAGGAGGGATCCTCCTGCAAGAAGCCGTGGTCAGCGGGCGCGCCGGTTCAGAGGGCGCGAACGAGTAGCCTCGCATCGCAGGGTCTCGCGGTTCACTCCACTTGAGGCGGTTTCGAGAAGCGGTACTTCACAATATTAAGCACAAGTAAATAGTAGGGACTTTACCGACGCAAAGCACAAGATTTGACGACGTTCTGTCCGTGAAAGTGCATCATTTCATAACATTTTCAATACACAATTTTCCATTAACACAAAGTAATAAATATAACTAGTGGAGTTACAGAATGGCATAGACTTTCTCGTACTAGTTAATTTTCTAATTCTTTTCTTCTGAGATTGTCTTTCGGTCTTACTCCAGCCTTTTGCCAGTTGTCATCTATCGCAGCCAAAAGTACATTTTGGTGCATGAACATTATTCAATTTTACTTTTTCCAAAGGTAGAACCGGAATATTACTTGAAGAATATTATAGAGTAGAAGAATATTATAGGGTTTTATAGAAAAGTAAAACCTGGTTCTATAGTGAAATTTTTGTCGAAGCATTTTTAAGAAAATGTCGTGTAAGTGATCCCGTAAATGCGAAATTTCAAGCTCTTGTTCACAGAAAATTGTCGTGTTTTCGAAAAACTTCATTTGAAGTTATTTCAAGCACTACCCCTTACAAATTTAATAGTGTAAACAAATCGCTGGAAAATTTTATATTAACGGCGTGATATTAAAAAAAAACATTTGCGAAATATTCTGCCATGGTACGTGCGATCAATACTCCTCCTCTATCGACCATCTGCAATACATGTATGCTGTATGTACTATTTCATTTCGCGATATCTGGAATTGGGTGTTCCTGACCCCACACCATACTAACATTTGCTTTTTGTAGCCGTGTATTGCAATAAATGCTAGACCTACAAATATGAGGATGCGAACACTACGAAGATCTGATGCCAATGTTTCCTGCCAATAATGATCGCAATCCCTTGTTATGAGTGCAGTGTTTTTATGACCATAATCGTAAAAATATGCATATTTTTAGAAAAGTTTGATAAAATATTGAAACGCGTCATTTAAAATATGTGAATTGTTCTACGTTTTTTTCACAGAATGAAAGGAAATATTTGCGAGATTGCACACGAGTTACAATGAGTAAAGTGCAGATGTAATTTCAATAACATACGAATACATTTAAATCAAATGTAGGTCCTACATTAACATGCATTATTTTTCATGACTTTCAAATCCTACCAAGTCCAATTTCATTTTTTTGGTTCCGATGACAAGACGACAGTTTAGTTCACAATGTTTGTCACCGAAATTATTTATTCGCTATAACTGACGTTCCGGTGGCATTACACACGAAATAGAATAATTCTTAATGCTTTTATAGCGTACCAATAATAGCACACTATTAGCCCAACCATAGGGCCTGCCGTAAAATTCCGGCAG